TAAAAATGTTTTTAACTTGTTATGTTTCGAATATTTCAAGATTAATCAAGCTCAAAACTGAAGGACAAACAATATAGACAGAAAATCTCACCGAAAAGTTACAAAACTGAAATCAAAATTCTCGCTAATCCTGGATTAATTTAATTCGACTTTGAACAACCCGGCCCAGATTGTAAAAAAAAATGTTATGGCAAGAAAAACAAGGCTGTTGGTCCGTCTTATCAAAGAGACTTTCGTTCTCCATTTAATGATTCTGAATTCTAATTTGGCGTCACCCGATGCCGTCATAAAACAACTGCAAGATGAGTGCATTTAAAAGATGATTTAAAGAACTTTGATGACAAAGGAACGAAATATATGTTATAGACATTTAAATTTCTAAATTTAAACTCCGATAAGATGCAAATTCTCTGATAGGGCATCAGGATAATTGATTTAATTGAGCTAGGGCTTTAACATTGAACATCCTGTGTACTCACTGACTCGTCTTGATGGACAATTTGATGAAAGAAAAACGAAAATTTAACGACATTCAATCATTCTTCGAACAGAGCTGAAAACAGCAGTGACATTCTGGGACACTGTCTGTTTCCAGTTTCATTAACGTTAAGATGTGAAATGAAAAGCAAATTGTGGCGCAAGCTGATAGGTCACTCCAANGATTAATTTAATTCGACTTTGAACAACCCGGCCCAGATTGTAAAAAAAAATGTTATGGCAAGAAAAACAAGGCTTTTGGTCCGTCTTATCAAACAGACTTTCGTTCTCCATTTAATGATTCTGAATTCTAATTTGGCGTCACCCGATGCCGTCAGAAAACAACTGCAAGATGAGTGTATTTAACAAAATGATTGAAAGAACTTTGATGACAAAGGAACGAAAGATGGAACTGATAATATATAAAAAATTAGAGTTGATAGCAAATTTACATTAAAAACAGCCGAGAGAGATAATTAAGTGAAAGTTTCTAATTAAGATAATCATGGGTCGTCTTCGCAGCAAATTACACATATAAATGTGAATATATTAGAAATTTAAATTTCTAAATTTAAACTCCGATAAGATGCATATTCTCTGATAAGGCATCGGGATAATTGATTTAATTGAGCTCGGGCTCTAAAATTGAACATCCTGTGTTCTCACTGACTCGTCTTGATGGACAATTTGATGCACATCAAACAATAACCGAAGACGAAAATTTAACAACGTTTAATCATTCTTCGAACAGAGCTGAAACCAGTCCAACCAATTGCTACTTCATTTGACGCAGCAGTGCCATTCTAGAACACTGTCTGCTTCCAGTTTCATTAACGTTAAGATGTGAAATGAAAAGCAAATTGTGGCGCAAGCTGATAGGTCACTCCAATTTGTTGAGCTACTCGTCACACAGGAACCTAAAACCTATAAATAGAGTGAAGTTACTAAGTGAGCAGATTAGCTTGAGCCGGAGCGGAAAAAGAAACTAAACGGCAATGTCGGACAACGTG